GACCATGGTCAAGGCCAGGGAACCTCAAACGTGTTGCCAAGGCCGATGATGTGACTATTGGGGAAGCGGTGTAGAGGGCCAAGAACTGTCTAAGTGCAAAACGGAGTCAGATGAGGATGCGTTACATAGTCATTTAAGTCACTCATCAGGTTTGGGGCAGCATCAAGGAGGAAGCTCACTGTCACCCAGAGAGACCAAGGGTCAGGAGATGGCTCAGCCAATAAAGCCACCCATCACCAAGTCAGATGACCTGAGTTAAATTCCTGGGACCCACTCGACTCATGAAAGATGTCCCCTGACTTCCATATTTGAGTAGTGACATGGATATGCAGCCCCCACGTTCACATAAGGAAATTTTTAAAATGCAGTCAAATGCTTTAGAAAGCTGTTAAGATCACTGCCCCTGCTCTAATACATTTAACTGTCTAGAAACAAGGCTGAATTTTCTTGAACCCAAATAACTGGGTTCAAGATAGACCAACAATAAAAGCAGATATGAGAGCCAGGTGTGGTGGGGCGTGCCTTTAATCTCAGCATTCAGGGGGCAGAGGCAGGTGGATCTCTGTGAGTTTGAGGCCCAGCCTGGTTTACAAAGTGAGTCCAGGACAGCTAGTTACAGCTCTGTTACACAGGGAAGCCTTGTCTCAAAAAAAAATAAATAAATAAAAAATAAAAATAAAAAAGCAGATTTGAGAATCCAGTCATCTTTTGTGAAGCTAAGATATTAATTTTTTTAAGTTGTAGAATGCTTTCTTTCTTTTTTTTTTAACAGACTTAATTCACTTTATTTTTCTTGTATAAAAACCCTATGTGGGTGCCACAGAGTGGGTCCTCTGAACAGAGGCTCTGGTGTGGGTGTTCACAAGATGATCAGTGAATTCCTGATAAGGAGACTTGGTGAACACAGTCTCTTCCCAGAGGTCGGGGGTCAAGGAGCTGTAGGTCTTGGAGATGGCATCGAAGGTGGCCTTGCAAAGTTGCCCAGGGTAGCAGTGCAGCCCCTGGCTGATTGTAGCAGTGGTCAATACCAGTCATCATCAGTAGCTTCTTAGTCACGGGAACAGAGACGATGCCAGTGCCTCTGAGGGCAGCGATGAGACGCCCCAAAAGAGAGCCACAGCAGCCTGTCACCTTGCATGGAAAAAATGTGGGACTTGCCAATCTTGTTCCCCTGTTAGCCTTTTGGCACAGGGATGATGGAAACCTTGGCCAAGATGGTGGTCCCTTGGATGACAGTGGTTACCTCCTTGGAACACTTAACACCAAGACCAATCTGATCATTGTAGTCCCCAATAATGACAAAAGCCTTAACCTGGTCTGCGGCCAGCCCATGTCTGATTCTGCACTGGCATGATCTTTAGAACCTCATCCTTTAGGGATGCACCCAGGAAAAAAAATCAATAATCTTGATTCCTTAATGGAACAGGTAGATCTCTTCCAAACACATGGTCTTCACATCCTTAATCAGGTGGCCCAACTTGGTAACGGGGATCCATTCCTTGTCTTCAGCCTCCACAAGCCCCATGGCCTTAACCATGGCCATGCCATGACCGTGGCACCTAAGATGGCTGCTGAATTCTCCATGGAAACTGTTTTGGGCTCCTAATCCTGGGCCCCTGGATCCTCTGGGCTCTCCTGCTGCCCCAGCATCATCTGCTATTTGGTGTTTTCCCAAAGAAGAAATGAATGCTTTCTTTTTTATGAATTACATGTTTTTAAAAAATAAACTGATTTCTCTTTAAAATATACTATGTATAGTAGCATATGATGGATTTGTTATTATTCTCAGGTTAAAGCTTATTACATAATGGTCATGATAAGTATGCTTTACTTGAGAATAATAGTAAATCCATCATATAATACTATAAATAACATTACATATTACATTTTATAAATAACATTCATCACCATCATCACCACCACCATCATCACCACCACCACCATACCATCATCATCATCACCACTGCCATCATCACCATTACCATCACCATACGATCATTGTCATCATCACCACAACTGCCATCACCATCCCTCAATGTATTTTGCTAGCTGAATGCTAAGAAGCATCTTCCCAAGAAACTCTCCAGAAATGCAAAATCCCCATGAAACAACTGGCATAACAATTTGTAGACTTAACAGTATTCACAGAAATCAAACTCTTACAGGGTGTTCCCGGCAGTGTTCTTCACAACCTGCACGCTTGGGAACTTGACACTGTTGCTTTAATGCTTACATGAATGTTTTTTTTTTCTTTTTAAAAATAATCTCAATGAAATTAAAAAGAATAAAAACACCTTTAAGCATCCCAACTTCTCTGTCCCTTTACTCACTTTATTTCGCAAATGAGGAAGCAGACGCAGACAAACCAAGGTTTCCCCTGCCCCTCGGTATGCAGCAGACTTTCTAAGGCTGGTGTCAGCCCTTGTTTGAGGTCAGAGCACTGGGAGTGGAGCCAATGCCACCCCTGTCTTCGGACCATTATTCTCATCTGTTTAGGAGTCCCTTGTGAGTCCCCACAGCTTCTGTAGCTCCATTCCACCTGCCACCTGTCATGTGGACTCCCTGTCCACTGCTTTGTAAGCACAGTGTTGACTGTATGCCTCCCTCACTCGGATCAGGCCTCTGCATCCTATGTGCTCTGACGGCTCAGTGAATACTCGCTAGCAGAGGAACCACTGGACCTGAGTTTCTGGCACACGGTGTGTTCTCTCCATTGCACCAACAGCCACCAGCAGAATAATACCTGGTTACCACTGTGATGGCATCATGAAAAGAGGTGTTTATTTTAAACCCAGGTCCTATTTGGGAAGCCCGGGAAGAAAGCAGGCAGTTTGCATTCCAATGAAACAGGTTATACTCTAATCAAAAGGTGAATGTCTGCCCATATCAGCATCGTAAGAATCTAACACACTCAGCAACTGAAATGACACATGCCTGAGGTGCCTAGTGGAGTCCAAGTCTAGTCCTGGACTTGTAGTTCTGACTTTTACAGCCACCGAACGTATGCACTCGGCCACCATCCACCTCGCCGAGAACATGACCAATGATACTGCTCAGCCTCTTACTCACTGTGGGATGACCCATACCCAGCTAGGCCAGGCTGAGTCACAGTGGCTCTGCTGTAAACAGGGCAGTGTGTACCTTTATTGCCAGGACTCCATGAGATCTCCAGTGTGAGCATACAGGGGTGCATCTGGAAAACGGTGAAAGCTGTGTGTGTGGCTGTGCCGGAGGAGCCTCATGGACCAGGACCTGGGAAGACTCAGACCTCACCCCATCTCTGCTTTTACTGAGACAGAATGACTCCTGGAACACCACGTTAGTCGAAGCAGCTGTGCCTCAAGAGAAGCAGAAGAGTGGCCATTCCACAAGAGACCAAGGCAAAGCCAGAAATCCATGCTCAGCTGAGCACGCAAAGACCAAAAAGCAGGAGGCAAGTCTTCAAAAGTAACAACCAAAAATGACCAGCTCGAAAATGCAGAGCCCATCTCCCCACTTCTACTTAGCACTTAAACCCTGAAAATGATGCCCGCCGTAAATCCCTCCTTCCTCCTCCGCTGGGTGTGTGGGAGGCTCGGTGGCATGTGCTTTCAGATGCTTCTCACCAGGCCAGGGCATTACACCGCCGCTGTCCTCCCATCTCTTTGGTGAGTTCCAGAAGCCTGACCCCCAAGGATTCCCTGTTTAATGCCTATTATCTCTGGTAGTCCCTCCTGTTACTCATTCATGGTTTACTCATGAGTAAGGAGCTAAGGGAGGAACAACAACTTGGACTTTGCCACTTTCCACAGCTGGCAGTGAGATGGCAAAGCTACTCACAAAAGTTCCTCACCAAATATCCGAGTACTGAGAGAGCTGAGATGTCTCGGCTATAGCACATTTCTCCAGCTGCATTGGGGGTCAGCTTCCACACACTGGCTCATGAACTTGTCTGAGGACATCTCCCCAGATGTCCACCTGGAGTCCCTGGTGTTCCAAGTTGCCTGGTTGGGAGAGGACAGAGGTGTTAAGAGACCAAGGAGACCCACTGCTCTCCTAGCTAGAAGGTCAGCTCCCTTTTCTACACACGGGGCCAGTTGCCTATTTGGACTGTAGAAGACATGACGTTAGCTAACAGTGAACGGCTCCATATCCACACAGAGGTCCACGGGCTGGCTCCCGTGCGAGAGAAAGAGGGTGCCAGGGAGCACTGGGTGGGTGTGGGGAACAACTCTGAGGGGCACAGCTTGCCCTTCTTAGTGCTCAGGCCTCTGAGAGGCTTCAGAAAGCAAGAGGGTGTTGTGGTGTATACCTGCAGTTTCATTGTGACATTTAGAGGAGGCCCAAAACTGAATGGTCCCAGTCTACAGACTAACCCATGTAAACTATGGTTTAGAAACACCCCCACCCCCACCCTGCACCCTCACACACACTGAATGTCATGCCCAAGACACAGCTCACAGCTCTACCTAACTCCTACTGATGCTGACATAATAAAACCAAATTCTGATGCTGGTAGCTTTTGCAGCCTACATCTCATCTCCCACAGTGCTTTTGCAAACACTGGCTGATCTTCCATATGGTGTAAAGTACTGATGTCTCTGAAGTTATTACCCTAAGTGTCATGTTCTTGTTGTCTGTGAGCATAATAGTTCATTTATTTTTTTTTACACTTTTCTTTTTATTTCTTTGTTTTTCTTTTTATCCTCAAGTGTCTTGCTAAGTAGCTCAAGCTTGCCTAGAATTTCTGATCTTTCTACCCCACTTTCCTCAAGAGCTGAGAATACAGTCATGGACCTGAGAATATACACCTGGTGAGCACAATGTTTCATAGATAGATAGATAGATAGATAGATAGATAGATAGATAGATAGATAGATAGATAGATATTGCATGAACCTTGTAACCTATCTCATCACAAGATGAAGTAGTGTTTGTTTGTATCCTTGCTTGCTTGAGGCAAGGCCATCTATATGAATGACTTTTCTGTTGCTAAGATGAAATGACATGACCAAGGCAACTTACAAAGAAAGAGTTTATTTGGGCTTATAATTTGAGAAGGAGAGTCCACAATGGTGATGAGTTATAGTAGCAACTGGCAGGGCAGACACCAGGAACAGGAGGCAGAGAGAGCAAACTGGAAGTAAGATGAGGCTGTGAACTCTCAAAGCTCATCCCACTGACATACTTCCTCCAGCAAGGCTCCACCCCCTAAAGGTTCCAAAACATTCCCAGATAGTTGGGACCTGAACACCTGGGGACCAAGTGTTCAAATACAGGAACCTATGGGAAACATTTCTCATTCAAACCATGACAGTCTCTTTATGAAGTCCTTGACTTAATTTCCCAATGTACCAGGCTGACTTCAAAGTTGTGGTGATCTCCTGCTTTGTGACAGGTGGGATCACAGGCATGGGCCAGCCACCCACATCTGTTTCCTCTTCATTACATGGTCACATTATCAAAAATCCAACAGAAAACTCAGGCCTTCAAAGAATATAAATGCTTTTAGACTTAAAGTTAATAATTTTTTACTGTTTATAATCATGTTTTAAAAATATATTCCAAAGTTTTAGATGAACAAGAATGAGTCATTTTAAGTTTTATTTTGTCTTATGTTCACACATATATTTTGAGTGGGGAAGGGTGGCTATGGTTATCAGCATGCACACGTCACGATGCATGCGTGAAGGTCAGAGCTGCAGGAATCAGCTCTTTCTTTCTACTATGTGGGTCCTGAGGAATAGGATCATCAGGCTTGGTGGCAAGCATTTTTGCCCACTGACCCACTGTTGCCCAAACCCAAATTTTATAGTAATTTAATAGTAGGCCCACAAGATTGCTCTGTGGGTAAATGTGCTTGCCATCAAACCTGATAAGCTGAGTTTGATCCCCAGGTCTCATAGGGTAGAAGGAGAGAATCAACTCCTGAAGCCTGCTGTCTGACCTCCACACACAGAGTCACACAGACACACATACCATGACATGTGCACACAACAAGGGAAATAAAATAAACTTTTAATAATTTAACAGATAAGTGTAATCTTGAGTTAGTAGATCTTCAAGGTAGTGCGTGATAGAGAACCATCCTTTCGAAACACAGCACAAGTTTGTAACTATGTTTTTGTTTTATTTTTATGGAGCTAGGGACGGAATCCAGGGCCTTGCACATCTTGCTAGGCACCTTAGTGTTCTACAATGGAGGGGTGGCCTCCACCCCTAGCAACTGTTTTAATTGGAGTCAAGTAAATGCTTATTAAGTTTCTGTCTCAACTGCCTGATAGTAAAAGCCACGAAGGAAGGACCCAGTATGCTGCTGGCAACACTGTGGGAACCCAGCTCATGTCTCTAAGTCTGGGTGTTGAAAGCCATTTATCCTTGAGGATGTCATAGACCCACTGCTTGTCACAGAGATACTGCTTTACCACTCCATCAACACGTGACGGGGTCACTTTTCAATCTATCAGTTTTCGCTCTAGCAGCTTGTAGAATAGAAGTCAAGGCTGAAGGGTTCTCACATACTTCAAAGGAAATATCTTACTGGAAAAACATGTAGAATAAATTTTGGTGCCTTTCCCAGTTTGCTGGTTGTCTATCTACTGGGGAAAAAGTGACCACAATGACTATATTTTACCTCTAATCTGTTCATGCAGGGCTTCATAAGGCCTAAGTTCTACATGTGTCTAGCCCTTATTAACGGAAATTAACCTGTAAGCCAGGACAGCCACCAAGAGACCAGAGCACAAGGCCATTTCATCGTTTATCCTTTTGTGTCTAATTCTTGACTGGAAAAACAAGTGCCTAAAAGCCTCTTTTTTTTTTTTATAGTGGAGTAAAATGCCCTGATCCTTCCTGAGGATATCCCATAGGGGATACAATCCATTAAGATGGTCACAGGAAAGGCAATAAAATAAATTAAGACAAACAAACAAACAAAACCCCATAAACCTTTATTCCCATAGATATCAAGGCCACGTGGGAAGGACCTGCAAGCCCCAGATCACATCTTCTAGGAGTACTGTAGACCACAGCCTTTCCCACTCATTCTCTTGCCCCTGCGAGAAAACCCTTTCCAGAGGGCTACCTGTGGAGAAATGTGCAAGCCAGCATTGTCTAGGAAGAACATGGTGTCATGGTTACAGAAGCTATGGCACCTGACAGTTACTCTGCCAAGCAGTGTCCAGAGGACCCAGCCAGTTACTACCAGCAGAGACAGTACATGTGTGATGAGACAGGACTCAGAATAAAATGCCATCCCTGGGAGCATATTCTACCGGCTTCCTCTGCTCCTGTTTTTGCTGGTATCGTGCCTTCTGATAGAAAATGATAATGACCACGGTGACAATATTCAGAAGGATGACAAGCAGAATGAGCCAAAATGAGTATCCGTAACTGTGGGTTACTTTCTGGTTGGTGGTGTCTGGATAAAGCTTCTGGGATAGTTTTTCTGAGAGATGGTTGGACTCCACATTTCCCACAAACAGGACCATGGTCAGGAACACAAAAGATGCTGCAAAGAAGATTGAACTTCATAAATGACACAAGGAGGCATTCTTAACATTATTTGTGTCTAAACATGTTTGCATGAAAGTTTCTGCATTTCTTGCAATTTCTTGTGAATGTGGACACAAGTGTGTGCACATACAGACAAAGGACAATACCAGGTGTCTTTCTCTATTGCTTGTTGTTGTTATTATTATTATTAATATTAATTAATTAATAATAATAATAATAATAATAATAATAATAATAATAATAATAATAGAGGACAGAGTCTCCCACTGAAGGTGTAATTCTCTGTTTCAGGAGCAAGCCTCCAGACCTCCTGTCTCCACCCATCACTGCCCACCCAGGAACGTGGTTACAGATATGTACCACTTTCCTGGCTTTTTTTCTTGGCTGCTTGGGGTCTGAACTCAGGTCCTTATTTCTCTTCAGCAATCACTTTACTCATTGAGCTATCTACCTATCCTTGTGATGCATGTTTTAAAGTTATTTTATTTATATGTATACGAGCATGTGTCTGCATGAATGCATGCATACATACGTGTAGACACACACACACAGGGGCTAGAATAGGGCATCAGATCCCTTGAAGCAGGTATTATAGGTGTTTGTGGACCACCCATGGGGTAGGGTGGGATTTGAATTCAGGTCCTTACAACTGGGCAGCAGTCACTGCTGAGTCATCTTTTCAGCTTCATTTTTCTCCCACATTCTGATGTATTTTAAATATCACTTACTTTCTTTATGGGACACATAATCCAAAGGAATTTATTGAATAGCTACATGGGGTTCTATAGTGTTTCAGGATGAAGGAGAATGTAAAGATAAGATATAAGATATAAACTGCATTCTAGGCATGTAATACTAAATATTATTCAGAGCAGTATCTGACTTGCAAGCTCAGATCCTGTCAGAAGTTGTCACTGAGCAACTGGCTTACTCCACAGCTTGTGCCCTAAGGTCACATAAGTAGCAGGTGTGAGTGAGTGTGAGAGTAGATATGGTGAGTGTATGCAGAGATGTAAATGGACAAACAAGACTTGGAAAAAACACCAGCATCGCAGGTGAAAGAAGCCACCCCCACAGGAACAGGAGAGGGCGGTGGGTCAAGGTCATGCCCAAAAGGGAGGAGTGATATCTGCCAAGAGCAAGAGAACCACGGGCTCAGGAATGCCGAACATGGACTCAGGAAGGCTCTAGATAGCTGCTGAAGATAGTTCACTCTGCATGGCTCAGCCAACTGTGGCCTTGAACCACTGTAGATACTCAGGAAGCAGCTACAGCAAAGCAGATTTATAGTTGCTTAGGTGGGTGAGAGGCAGGTAGTAACCGGGAGACATGAGGTCTCTCTTTGAGCTAGTGAAAATACTTACAAAGTGGGGGTTAGTGATGTGTGCAGCGTCTATGAACACGCCAAAACCCAATGGACAGTATGCTTCAAGTGGGGAATATATGTGGCAAGTGATTCATGTACCAGTAATGTTGAAAAAAAAAACTTTGTGGGAGGAGGTGAGGGTGAAGATGGGGCATCAGGTGGCATCTGATACATCAGGGGTCCCCAAGATGAAGACCATCTGGGATCCTTAATCTGCTGACCCGCAGAATATGAACTCTTGAACATCGAGCTGTGTCTTAACCCACTGGTAAAGAAGCTCCCCAAATGCTCCTCTGAGGGAGGCTAATTAGGGGGGCAGTTGCATGAAGAGAATGTTTGAACAGCCCTTGATGATACACCTCACCCACAAAATAATGGCTTTATTTCCTAATTAGTTGCATGAACAAAAGTCTCGTTCCTCTGATGCTCACTGGGCTCCTCTTACGCCTTCATTATCCTTCATTTTCCTCTTGTGAAGTTTCTTCCTATAAAAACTTAATTGATCGTGAAAGGGGTGGAATGAACACAAGGTTAATACCTGTATCCTGAACTGGGTTGTCTGGACCTTTGATTTGCACAGGGAAAGGCCAGAACACAGACACCTCGACTATCTGGGCACCTGAGAGGCAGATGCCTGGAGCCTGGGCTTCACACTGCTTCTGGTTAGCTGAATCAATCAATCTTTCTTTTCTTCTTTCTTTCTTTCTTTCTTTCTTTCTTTCTTTCTTTCTTTCTTTCTTTCTTTCTTTCTTTCCTTCTTTCTTTCCTTCCTTCCTTCCTTCCTTCCTTCCTTCCTTCCTTCCTTCTCCCTTTCTCTCTTCCTTTCTCACTCTTCTTCCCTCCCTCCCTTCCTTTCTCACTCTTCTTCCCTCGCTCCTTTCTTCCTTCCTTCATTCCTCCCTCCCTTCCTTCTTTCCTCCCTGCAGAATTGGAAATTAAATATAGAACCTCAAAAATAGTAAGCAACAGTTTCATCCTTGAACCACACCAACACTCTTCATTACTTATATCGAGTAGGGCCTTAAACTCCCTCTGTAGCCAGCCAGATCTTGAACTTGGGGGAATCTTCCCATCTCAGCCTTCCAATAATTGGAAGTACAGGCTTTCATCTCTAGGCCTGGCTGACTATACAGTTTCTCCAGAGTTGAAGGTAGAAGGGCTACTGGAGGCAGGGGTGGGTGGGGAGCAGTTCATAATGGCATGAAGACATGGGCTTCTGGAGGGGCCCATCTCTGCTGGGCCGTGGTACCCACTCCTTGCTTGCTGTGTTCTCTAGTAGAGGGACAATACGTCTGGAGGAGACAATTTGTGAAGGTCCCTCTGGATCCAACCTACCTTAAAACCCCCTGTAGCCAATCCCAACCACACTGAGCCAGTGTAAACTGAGGTCAGGGGCACAGGCTTCAGGCAGTGTTATGCTGTTTCTCTCCATCAGAAACAAACGCAGTAATCCCCTTCCTTTTCTGCCCATTGGGCCTGCTCACCACCTGCCAGCCCAGGAGAACATGGGCAAGCCTAGTGCCACAGGGGATTGTAGCATTCTCATTGGCCCCAGGGCCTTAAAGTCAGTCTGACATCAGCCATCCCCTCACTGTGCCTCAAAGGCCAGGAAAGCTACATCATCAACACTGCGCAAAAGCCTTTCTGCAGGATCAGCCTCTGGCAAACCAAGTTTTCACAAAACTCTATAACCCTCCAGATAAGGGAAGAAAATCAAGGCTCTTGGAGGGCATATGAGCGCAGAATCTGGCTTACTGAGCATCAGGATACAAAATGATACTCCCAACTCCTGTGGTTGCCCAAAGGCCTCCTATAGACCCAGGTCAGAAATCATAACTGCCCCTTACACATCCATTATAGGTGCTTTTCCGGCCCAACCCATAGCCTCTCCCTCTGTGTTAGAATATAGCCCTGAGGCAGAAGAAATGTTTGGGGAATTCTCTCCACACTACATAGCCCTTTGTGGCTAGATGTAGGCAGGATGGAGGGGAGACTCTTCAGACTCTTCCTCTTCCTGTTTTCCTCCACAGACATATGTGGGGAGACACAAGTGCAGTCAGCCTGTCCCCCACCGCAGAGGAAAAGCAATGAGGCTATAGCTTTGAAGGGACGATTCCTGGAAACCTCATGGGCTGTGGACAGGGCAGTACAGGCTCAACGTACCCTCCTGTCATCCCCCCTTCTCTGGGAAGCCACTGCTTCTTCCCTATGTGCCTCTAAAGCTGGAGAACCAGCTCCAGTATGGACAAACGTCCTTAGTCAACTTAGTAGGTTAGTTTGTCAGTCCATGATCAGGTCATGTCAGTGGGGGAGTCCATGAACTGGGCTGAGGACACTCTCCCGACTCCTGGGACATGGCAGGCCTTTCCTCTAGAGCGGCTGCTGCCAGAGTCCAGGGTATGAACAAACGTCTGACCTTTGACCTTTAAAAAAAATTTTATATACATTGGTATAAATACACTGGTGTATTACATTGGTGTTCTGTCTCCATGTATGTCTGTTTGAGGATGGCAGATCCCCTGGAACTGGAATTACAGATAGTTTTGAACTGCCAACTAGGTGCTGAGATTTGAACCTGGGTTCTTTGGATAAGCAGCCAGTGCTCTTACCCACTGAGCCATATCTCCAGCCCTAACAACTGACCTTTAAGAGGACTGAACCAACTGTGCAGCTACAGAACACACACTGGGAAATCAATGTATGCAATTATGAAGGGAAACAGACTTCCCAAGACATAATCTCTCAATTCAGCCATGTCTGAGAGGCCGCTGCTTCTGCTGGCTCTGAGTTACATGAGCAAAAACAAGAGCGATTCACTGTTTATCCCAGCAGCAAGGGATCTCTGGTCACTAACGGAGGACCCTTGACACCGGGGACCTATATCTGGATTTGTATCCAAGTCCCTGAAGACTCCCAAGTGGAGTCTCAGTCCCACTAGGCAGGTGTGGGGACTGAAGTACACAGACAAAACCCATGGAGAGTCTTTTAACGGAGACACAGCAGGATCCACGCCCCATCCGGACTCCATCCTCCACCCCAGCACCCACCCACAAAATAACAAGATCACCTATTAGCTGCATAGATTCCTAGCTACAAGAAGAGTGTTGGTCCCAGGGGAATCCTACCCTGGCTCTGTGGCTTGGCCATCCAGGCATGCCAACTCTGGAGTTTAAGTTGCTCCTTATGAGGGCAAGAAGGAGAGCAAATGTGTGTGCGTTCGTGCCCATGAGCATGCATCAATGTGCATGTGCGCACACATATGTGTTTATGTGTACCCATGCACGCACATATACGCCCAGGTGTGTGTGTGCCGTGTATGTGCACGAGTCTTCTCAGGAAACTCACCACTGAGTCCGTTCCAGGTGTAGACACCCACAGGACCCAGGAATGTCTGGTAAGGGTTGCTGATGCTGTTGTAGAGCGTGAACACTGAGCTCAGCACCGAAGCGCCCAGACCCAGGACCAGGAACAGGACGGCCACCGAATGCAGAGACTTCTGGGAGGAATTGTCCAATATCCCTAAAACTGAAGCAATGTTTGGTGAATGCACAGTGCGGAATACAAGTCCTAAGTACCGCCAGGCTAGAGAAGATATGATGTCAGGGAAGGAAGCAGTATGCCATTCATCCTGCAAGAGCAAGCCTGCATGGGCTCAGGGGATGGCTCAGTCACTAATGCGTTTCATGTAGACGCCATGGATGTGTGTTCAACCTCCAGAATCCACCGAAAAGAGCCAGGTGTGGTAGTGAGTGCTTGCAGCCTCAGTGCTGAGGAGACGACAGAGACGGGCGAATCCTGGGGCTCACTGAACAGTCAGGTTGAACTGGTGTGCTCCACGTTTAACCAGACACCTTGTCTCAACAACCAAGATGGGAATCACCCAAAGAATGACACCTGAAGCCGACCTTTTACCTCCGTGTACATATATAGACACAAGCATGTGCACCTGAGTATTCGCATTGCATGTGCGTGTACATACAGGGACACACAAATACACAGAATGAGTCAGTGTTTCTCATGTCAGGCCAGTCAGTGACTTCACTTGGCTGTGTAAACCGCAACACTGAAGGTGGCTTGTGGCAGGACATTTGATCACACTGTGAACCCGGAGACTGTGTACTTGAAAAACCTGCTTTTAGTTTTGGTGTGGCTCAGCCCTAGCATACACTTTCTGTAAACAGGATTAAATAAAGTCAACCAGAGGTCAACAGGCAGAGCAAGCAACCAGTTGTCAGGGAGTGAACATAGGGAAACAAAACAAAACAAAACAAAAAAAAAAAACAGAGAGTGAGAGGAAGTCTGGAGAGAGGCACACAGGAAGTAGAAAGGAGGAACATTTGGTTTGAAAAAAATACAGCATAGAGAAGGAGAAGGGTTTTTTTGTTTTGTTTTGTTTTTTTGTTTTTGTTTTTGTTTTTTTTTTCCCTTCTGGGACCTCAGCTGAGTAGAAAGATCAGCTGGGTGCTTTCTCTGCCCCTCTGAGTTAGTAGGCTTTCACCCCACCGTCTGACTCCTGAGTCTTTATTGGTAAAATCGAACCTTTGGGATTTTGTTTAAAAACAACAGGAGCTGAATGCTTAACTTAGTTTCAAGTCCTAGCAGAGGGTGTCCTTCAAATCTGCAACTTCCTCATCAGTGACCTCTACCCTCAGAGCCTTGCTAGCAGGATAATGGCAAGTCCATCACCATAGTTTCCCTTCAGGTCTAAGGATTAATTGCTTCTGGAAGAAACCCTTAAGGTAGATCACTGTCCAAACCCATGTGCAATGAGGAACCCAGAAACCCTGTGGCTTAGAAGAATTCAGTGAGCCAGAATGAGCTGACAGAGAAAAGAAAAAAAAAAAAAAAAAGCAGGAGAATAAGGACATAAGGGCTGCTGGAAATGACCAGAGAGGTTCTAGCCCACAGCTAGCAGGAGTGATAGGAAAATGTCAGGGTACCTTCCCTTGGTCCAGACTCCACCTCCCTGGCTCCAACGTTGGAGGCAGCTGGGAACACAACCCTCAGACTACCTTCCAAATTGAAAGCACTTTACAGAACAGTATTTGCATATATTTTAAATGCAAAGAAGCTCCATAGTGGATCTACACTCATAGAAAACACAACGCAGATGCTTTGGGCTGTGAGTCATCAGAACCTTCGAGTTTCTGAGCTCTAGCAGCCATTTTCCAGGGCATCTAGTTCTTCCATCTCCTGCTCTACTCCCATGCAAAAGACCAGACATGACAAAGTGTGTTCTTCCTAGGTACATCAAGGATTTCAGGTTGTCAGTGTGTCAGGATCCCACTGTTTAGAGATGGTCTGTGAAGTCCCAAAGAAAAAACAATTGGGGAAGAGGTAGTGGTGCTGACTGTGACAGCACTTGCAAAAGCATTGGGAGCTACAAGCCATAGTAGCCTCAGAGGGGTGAGTACGAAACAGTCAAAGGACTTCTTCTCCTCCTCCTCTTCTTCTCCTCCTCCTGCTCTTCTTCCTCTTCCTCTTCTTCTTCATTTTCTTCTTCTTCTTCCTGTTTATCTGGTCCCCAGGAATGTGGAGATGTTCATATCCTAAGCTAGGTGCAGCTTTAAAGAACAGGAACTAGCCAAGCAGATGTGGATTCTTTTAGTTTCCAGGGCTGTGTGTGCTGGGAGCTTCCATGAGACACTAGGAATGTCAAAGCATCTGCTGTACCATGTTCTAACATGTTTCACCAGCACCCTCTCTTTTCGGGCACCCCTCTCCTTCCCTTCTCTGTGTGTCAAGCACTGCTCTGAGGGCCCATGACTTCACCCCCACCCCGGATGCTCACCCTGGAACCGCACACCATGCACTTGTGTCTCCTTTCTGAGCATTCAAGGAAAACAAGAGTTCCTATGTGACTGAGAGACTTGTAAAAGGAACTGAGGGTGGGGGTGAGGTGGAGAGATGGATCAGTGGTTAAGAGCATTGGTTGCTCTTGCAGAGACCATAAGTCAATTCCTACCCACATGGTAGCTCCCAACTATCTGTAACTCTAGTTCCATGGCAGTAAACACTGTCTTCTGACTTCCATGGACACATGGTACTCATATACATGCAGAAAAGACATAAAATTATATATATATATAGTCTTCACTGAGGTAATTCCATCCTGTAGAGGGACTTTAACCCAGCAACATGGCTACTCTGGCTGAAATACAGATTCTAAACAATGAAGGCAAAGTTAATTGGTAGAAGAAAGCAGCCATGTTTGAAAGTGATGTCTAATTGAGAGGCAGACAAAGTGATGAATCAGGGAAAGATTTGACAGAATAGGATATGCCCATCTCTCACAAGAACAGAGAGGAATGAGAGGTGACTTAAAAAGGAGCAGCACTAAGATGGGGGGGTGGAGGGATAGGAGGCAGTTTTAGCAGGACAGTTTTACAGAGACAGACTGTAGAGAGAACAAGCTAGATACAGTGAAGTCAGATGATCCAGAGAATGAGAAGGAGACAAAAGATTAGAACATATTGCTAGAGTTAGTTGAGGCCAAGCAGAACAAAAAGTCAGAAGCTGAGAGAAGCCAGATTGAATAAATCAGCTAGGAGAATGGTTTGAGCCAGAACAGCTGAGTTAAATCAGCCAACCAGGGTTCAGAAAGAGGTAGAAAGAGAGTGCTTATTCAACAATAAGTCTCAGAGAATGAAAACATTCCAGGCCTAGATTAGATTGTATGGAGACCAGAAGCTTCCAGGCCTAGGCCTAGGTTAACAGATGGAGGCAGTAAGTCTCCAAGATGTCAATTACATCAGGCGAATAGAAGTTGCTATAGCACCATTATATACCTTTGAACTATGATTCTGAGTGGTCTGACACAGGACTCCATGAGCTCACATCTACCTGTGTAAGAATATGTACATATTCATTCCAGTTTGGGTGAAAACTTTGTAAGATTTTTTTTAACAAAAAATGTTTTTAATATTAAAATGTCTCCAGCAATCATATCATCAATAAGATGATAAGATAAAGCAAATGAATCTAACGATACCGTTAAAAACCAGGTTTGGTGCCAGTGATGTCGTGCATCTTGTTTGCCACCAAGGCGATCACCTGAGTTACCCTAGGACTTGAATGGGTGAAGAAAGAACTGAATCCTATGAGGTTTTCTCTGACCAGTGTGTGGCTATGACACACCTGTGCATGCACACACACACATACAATTTATATATAATTTTTTAAGCCAGGATTTTCTTCATTGGCGAAGAGGAGGCAGAAAGACTTGGAGAATTGGGACTAAGAAGTCTGTTGTGGACAAAACATCTTAAGTCCTCATATTTCCTTTTCTAAATCTGCAACTTCCTCCTACTAGACAAAGTAGGCCCGAGGCCAGCAGCAACGCAGGGTACTGGCTGAAAGGGTGAAGAGATGTGCAGGAAAAGAGGGCAGGAGACAGGCGCATGGCTGCAGCATGTGAGAAACATTGACATGCATCCCTTGCCAAGCCCAGGAGAGCAGAGCCTGCGGGACAAGAGAAACACGAGCTTACACTCAGTGGAGCATGACCTCCCACCCCCACTGTGGAACATTTCACTCTCTGGATGTGCCCAGGGGCAAAGCTCAGCTTCCCCAGGCAACGCCTGTGGTGACTGGACTCTTCAGTGCCGTCTGTCAGCGACTCCTTGGGTGGATTGATCCCTAGCCTACATCCTCTGCTCTGTCACCTCAAGGAGGCTCTTAAAGAGCACCTGGGCTGGGGCTGCACTTGTCCCTGACTCAACCAAGTGGAGTCTCTCTTGCCCGTTTCTCCATGCTCTATGGAAATGCCATGTTTGAGAGGTGTGGCTTATACTAACTCAGCATGAGGTGATTTTTAAACTGGAGGGAAGTGACGTCAGAGGAGAATAGGAAAAAGCAACAGAGCTAGGGAGGTACACCCAGCCAGAGGTCTAGGCTGGTTCCTGTGGACATTATGGCCATTCATCGTCTCAAGGTGGATCCACTTCCCCTTACCCAGCAGCCAGGCCAGGAGGAAACTTAATTCGATCTCAAGGGAAGTTGGCTGGGGACAAAAGAGATCTCTTTTTCTCTCCTTGGCAGAATTCTGTAGTCAAGGAAATAACTGGAATATTTAAGTCAAAAGCAGAAACCTGACTGTGAGGAACATGCCCTGTGTCCCAAACACCTGGAATTCTCTGAGTCTCTCTGCCTCACACACTGACTTAAAGCTGTAAATGGATGCTCATTTGCAAATGGACTACTCCATTAAAAAGTGGCCGTGCAGGGCACAGTGCCTGTAATCGCAGCCCTGGAGAACAGAGACGAGAGAATGTGTGGAGCCTGCTAGCCAGCCAGCCCAGCAGAATCAGTGAGCCCCTGTCTCACAGAAACCCTGTCTCAGAAAACTAGGTGGAGAGGGTTGGAGAGATGGCCCAGCCGCTAAGAATTCTTACTGTAAGCTGGGTGGCGTATGCCTTTAATTCCAGCACTTGGAAGGCAGAGGTGGGCTCATCTTTTTGAGTTCCAGGCCAGCCTGGTCTACAGAGTGAGTTCCAGGACAGGCAAGGCTACACAGAAACCTGTCT